TCTATCGTTTCATAAAGATTACGATAGCAACAATTGTTTATTCTGAATTCGGGCGAATCTCATAAGTACAGCCTATGAGCAAAATGATGGATGGCTGGATTTTAAAGCAGGTGGTACCACTGTTATATAGCGAATTAATAAACGCTTGTTTAGTTAAAGTTTGTCAGATTTAAGTTTATTTTATGAATATAAAATAGAATAATTTTGATTGAATTATTTTATATTTATCATAATAAGAAAGACCTTACTTTACCGCTTGTCTTACTTTTTTTCTCAAAACAAATCTCAAACAGTATGGTACGAAAGACTTGCCCACATTTTTCCCCTCCGTAAGCATGATGTTTTCTGAAGTCAAAAGATTTGACAGAATAACATTGCTTAAGCAATTTTGCTAAATTAAAGATAATAACTTGAATACACCGTTCCTTCGGTTTGAAGATAGGGCAGAAGTATCACGTGTAACGGGATATCGTTCGCAGGTCTTAAAAATACACAAATACGGCATCTGCATACCGAACATCGCGTGGCGTCGTTGATATTCTGTGTATAATTATAGACAATTGTCAGATCGGGAAAACACGCCATTTTAACAGCAGGCACATTTGTTTGCGTATATGAAGCTCCGACATGAACACCTGTCCTAATTTACGTTCAACTGTGGCAAGAACCGGCCGAATCCAGTCTTACAACTTTCCTAGAATGCAAATAAAATCTGTTTGTTGGGTGTCCCTTAGGTGGGTATTGGCACTTATACAGATGCTGTTCAGACAAAGTCTGTCAAGATGCACAAGCATGGTACCTACCTATCTGTGACTCTACAGACCTTGTGAACCTTTGCCGCTTTTTCCGTTTATTAATCTATACAAAATCGGTAGGTTTCCTTGGACGGTGTATCAGCCCGTCGCAATGCCGCTACCTATACCCAGAACAACACAAACACAAATAAATGCAAAGAGATATCCATGCCTCGAGTGGGATTCGAAACCACGATTCCAGTGTTCGAGCAGGCGACGACTGTTCATGCCCTAGACCGCGCGGCCATGTGATCAGCAAGCATGTTACCTACTTTATTTTAATACTGTTGATAAAACGACTTAAAGATATCGAGATTTGAGGCTTCCATGAGAGTCGAAATGGTAAGCGTGTTCAAAATATCGACAACTTTACTACGTCCTCATGGTACATTATCCAGAATATTCTACGAGGTATAAAATACAATTAATTACTTGTATAGTCATAAACGACCGGTCACGGTAGCCGAGCGGTCTAAGGCATGTACTGTCTTCGATCGCTTGGAAACCGGGATCGTGGGTTCGAATCCCACTGAGGGCATGGATGTTTAGTTTGTGTGTTTGCCTTTTTCTGTGTTTGTGTACAGGTATAGGCCTTGCGACGAGCTGATCACCCGCCCAAGGAGTCCTACCGAATGTGTAAGATCTAGAAAAACCGAAGTGAACGGAGAAGTTCATGGAGGTAGGCCTAGGCCCAGTGTGGCTGTAGTGCCAAGGGGGGGGGGGGAAAAAAATAGTCATAAACGAGATTATTTTGGTATCCAGGACAGAGAGGAATGAAAGGTATTACATAATAAGAAATTATACTTCTACACTTCATAATTGGGGTAGCCAGATCCAAGAAGTTAACGACAGGATGGACGAATATGCAGCCTGTATAAGGACAATAAGAAATGCGTGTAGAAAGCCTGTGCTAGTACGTCGTGAAAATCAGCCACTTAGACGACGGAAAGTGATCTGGAAGGATATTATTAAAGTTGATTTCAGGAAAACAATTTGCCAGGCTGTAAACTGGTTTGAAGTAACTCAGATCGTATTCACTGTTGGCTTTGGTGCTGATAGGACTGAACTTTTAAATGTCCTGTTACCAGAGAGATTTGTATATCTTTTTCTCCATTGACAGCGTGTCCTGTATTTTAAAATCGAAAATAAGAGTTTGTTTAGTCAAATTAAACATTACATTTTTCAAGTCATGGACTCCTTAGCAGTGAGATGAACGTCACTGTACTCTGAATAAAAGAATACGATACATTTCAATATATAAACTAATGATTCTAAAAGGGAGGCAACACATGAGTTATGTAGTAGATCGTGAATGAGCGAGTAGTCATTTGCTCCAGTGTATTGCGTCTATTCAGCGACTACTGGCAATAAGTTATATGCATGCATATTAAGTAAGAAGGCCGGGCCGCGCCATAGTTTAAGCAGTTAGTCGCTGGCTTCCCATCGCGGCGCCCCGGGTTCGATCCCGGGTCTGGTCAAGTGGAATTTGTGGTGGACAAAGTGGCGCTGGGGCAGGTTTTCTCCGAGTACTTCGGTTTCCCCTGCCAATCTTCATTCCATCAATTGCTCCACAGTCACCGTCACCTATCATCTGGGGCTGGTACAATAGGCCAGAAGTGGCCGCAGTACAAGGGACTCAAGTCCCACCTCATTAGCATTAAAAAAAAGTAAAAAGCACGGTTTACGGTTGAGTGCTTGCTCCTGCTATTCGTGGGAAATGGCGTTGAACACCGGCCTTAACGAATCATTCGATAACAAATATGACTGCATAGGAGGTATACAGGGGAAAAGGGGAAGTAAAGTCATGCTAAGATTGGCTGTCAGTCAGTCAGTCAGTTCGTCGTCTGTCCTGTTGTTGAGTGGTTTGTAAAGTGTAGTAACAAGTTGTATAAGTGTGCAATCAATTCAGTCATCAATGCAAAACCCATCTATAAGTCACCCACACCCTTAATCACTTGACAGTATTTATAGTTTTACATGTACATAGGCCTATTATACATAATCTGTCCCTTATCAAAAGTGTTAATATCAAAAATAGGCAATATTGAAGATTTTGCATGTACCCATAAAACATAATACACATATGCGCCATTTACACTGCATAGAAACCCTGTGTCTTCAGACTCTATAGAGAGCAGGGGAAATTTACTGCAAAAGCTTATGTAACAAATGATGAAACTTCCTATTGGATTCTCAATGGATGTCATGTCAGAATAATTCATTTAAATTGTATAAAAACCATAAAGGTTAGAACCTAAATACTGACAGTTTATTTATTTCATAGACCCATATACGATTATTATAAGGGAAAGGTTCATCATAGTCTTATTTCAATTGTAATTGCCTATTCAGCTATTATCTGTGGACTGTAGAGTTTTAAAATCTTATTTTAAAGCATAATTTGAAGGCCCTAGTACAAGTATTCTTTTATCATGGCAGAACCAATCTGAGCATAATTATAGGAATCAGCATCTGGTGAGTGCCTCCCTTGAGATTCAAAAGTATAAAGTTAGCAATGATCAAAGAACATGTAATCATTTGTTTGTCATCAGAGATATGAGCCATTAATTTAATTCTCAGATGTTTCCATCATATGGTAAACTTCCTCTACTCTGATCACAGTCGCAAGCGACTCTTAATTTCATGATCAATCATATGGCAGGTGAGTTTATATTGGACCTTGATCTCCAGCAATCATCCTTGGGTAAGTTCATATTGAATACATCTTGTACACTCCAACCGTATAAGCAGCTCCTTAATCAGGTTGCCTGCAGCACATTCTATAATGCTCTTGGTTATATACATTAAAGCAGATAAATATACGTATTATGAAATCATTTGTCTTCTGAATGCAAATAAACAGCTGGTAACTGATTATTCTTATTTAATTCACATGTGACTATTCTTTTTATGGATTCATGGCTATTCCTCTTCTCTGATTCACATATTAAAAAACATAGTTACAAAAGTTCTGTAATTGATTCCTTGTTCTGATCTGAATAATGAATAAAATCAGATATTTCTTGAGACTGAGATTTAATGTCACTGCCTTCCTGTTATGATTGTATCAAATAAATGTCCAAATAAATAGTGACTGGTTTCTTATTTTGATCTCCATTATGTAAAATGTCAATACTTGTACCGTATCTTGGTTCAGTAAGAAGTTTTGTCATTTTACCTGGAAATTACACCCATATCTGACACAATGCAACATGTCAGGGTTGAATTCCCTGGCTTATGGGCATTTTTAACACAAAACAGTATTCTACCATAGCACAGTTATTTGATTAACAGTATTTTAATACTTCAGAATGCTTCATGATGGTTGAACTTCTCTCTCTCTCTCACACACACACACACACAAACATGCGCAGGCACATACACACACCCATGAAGTCAATATTGTGTACAAATAGAGTTTAATTCATTATTTACATTTATTTTCACTTCATGGATCCAATCATCTCCCCATAGGGCTGGATATAGAACATGTCACATATTACAAATTCATGATGACTACACATCATTCGTCCTTTGTCCAATAAAATATATAATCAGGCCTCTCACAGATAGCTCAAGTTATCAGGACAACACACATGGGTTGTGGAAAAACCACAGTCAAATTCACGCCTTGCCATTCCACACACACTGGCAAGCCATATCATTAAAACAGTTATATTATAAAATATTAAAATTCATAACAAAAACAGACATCATACATACTACTGAACTTACAACAAGCAAGTCTCAATTATATATAATTCACGCACACAGGCCATTTATTAACTCTTAACTTTTGAGCGCCTTGCGTGCTCAACAAATTCATCAATAGAGTAAAATACGTTACTTTGCAAATAATTTCGTAAAACAAACCTAAATTGTTTTTTTATCATTTTTTAAAACTGTGATATTTGATTGTTAATATACATTACATACATAAAAAACCAGTAACTTAACATACAATTGCTACATTGCTCCTGTGAAATTAGCATACTCACAATTAATGATCTGAAAAGAATTGTAATAAGTTTGGGTTCTCATCTATAATGTATATTTTCAAAAAGCCTGCTTATAAGGTTTTCTACTTTGTGTTACCCATTGAATGTCAACACTTCCATACAAACTGCTGTTGTTCTTACTTTGGTCTATCAGTTTTAAGATGTAGAAATTCTTTGCTCTTATGACATTATTGTGGTGGTTATGAAGGTTCCCTTGAGGCTAGCAGTGGCAATGCTGTTCCCCCTATTTACATCACCAAGTACAATCGCTTTGTGGACAGCATCTTGGAAAGAATAAACAGGATCCTGAGGAAGAACTATGACCCTGTCAATGTCCGTCTTCATAACAACAGTAATAAGGACAAGAGTAACAGCAAGAGGAACAACAAGAACAAGAACAGAACAAGACGTCCACCTGCCAGTAAGAAAGGGAATATGAGACCTAGTCACAGATCGGAGGACATCGCCAGATCTACCACGTAATCATAATGGCAATGATGAAGATGATGATGATGATGATGATTTCTATGATCCTACCCATAAGATGTGCTTCCCTGAACTGCATTTTTCCATATTTATAAACCTCATATAAATTCACAGTAATAATACAGAAATATATTTTGTGCTGTGCAGGCATGAGACAAGTAACCCACTTTATGATAATAGTAACTCAACTGTAATGTGGCAACACTCTGTAACTTAGAGTGACTTAAAATGTTACAGTTGTGATACTAAGAGTGGGATTTATTACCATATTATGACAGCAATAAAAGGTTTAATTTACAGGAAGCATAGTTACAATATCATCTGCCTGGAATTTAATTGCAAGAATGTAACAAGATACTCTGAATAATGATCATGGTCATAATCAACATCATCATGATCATTTATGCAAAATTATTATATAGTGCAATCATTGTTATGTTTTCCTATATACTGACTACAACATAAGGAGATTAAACTGTTGATTAGACCAACCTCTCTACCCCATTCACCCCCCTCCTGTCACATCATGACATATATATTAAGCTAGATACTCATTTATTATTAGCATTGAGTGGTACTAATTCTGGATAAAAGTTTACTGAGCAATTTTTGATAAGTGTTAGGTAACGTCAATTTAATTTATTTTATTTTGGTTAATTTTCCAATCAGTGGCCACTTTTATTAGTTTGGGTTAGTTTTATTCAATTTAAACTGAAACAATTAACAGGACCATTGCATGTAATAAGAGGAGTGTGAAGTGACTAGTATGATGTTGTGGAAGACTTCTAATTTATAATACTGAAAATTTCTTAGGGAAGCCATAGAGGCAACAATGAATGAGTCTCTGGCAGCCATCTCAGCACAGCTCATAGCAGAACATTCTAATGCAGAACAAGTGTCGCTCATCCATAACAGTAACTCTACTGATGCAGCTGCAACAGATTCTAATGTTACTGCCACAACCACAGAGCTAGCAACAACAAAACGGTCGTCAAACAATGGAATGATTAGTCGAGCAAGACCGCAGAAGCAACATCACCGTAACAAAAACAACAAGAAAACAAAAAAGAATAAGGTATATTAAATATAATCTTCCCATTATTATACTCTGTTATTAATATATAAGTAAACGCGTATGTCCAAAATGTTCAGGAAATAATGAGAAAGAATGAAGAGATATATTCCAGTATAGAACAAACATTTTCTAAACATATTCTATGCATTTTAGTAGTTCTGCTGTAAATTTACCATATAATTGTTACATGTACATAAACTGCCCATTATCTCTCATGAATTGGGAATGAGGCATGCTAGTTATATTAATCTGCTAATTGCTTGAGGAAAACTCTTAAAGAAATCCAGCACAAAGTCAAAACAACATGCTTTTGCTGTAGTTCTTGCATGAAAGTGTCCCTAGGTGACATGGTACTTTGGGGGGTTAAGATGCATATATTATAACATGACTACAAATTAAACTATGCTCTACAGTAATGGCACTTCCATGAGGGATAAGCATGGGTAACACTGCTATTGGTGGTTGAGAGAACTAATGTATCACAGGTGACCATATGCACACCACAGATTTGTTTTTGAATATCTTTATAAAACTGGTAAATCTTCTGTGAAATATGTTGGTTGGATGAAAAGTCCCATTGCTTGGATACCTGACAACAGGAAGTATACTGTCAGAACGTATTAATGATAAAGATACTATCAAAGATTTCAGGTTCTCATGGTGATGAATGTAAAGAATATGATATTCTGGTTCTGAGGCCAAGTAATTTTACAGATAAGTTCCTGAGAAACCTAGTGCCTCCCTATCTTGTTTTAGAAGAGTAAGCTGGTGTAGGAGAAGGATGTCCAGATATAAGGAAAAGGATAGGGTAGCTAATGATCCAATTTGAAACAGTTGCATTTTGGAACCTATCTACCAATCTACATGGCGTTACAACCCAAAGTACAGTAATTTTAATAAAAATACTGCATTGTATAATCATAAATCATGTTGTTGGAAACAACTAATTAACAGGAGGGACAACATTACATAGCAGAGAGGCATAAATTATTTTGTCCTTATATTTCATAAATGCATGCAGCATTGAAAAATATTATGAATAATTTCAGAGATCTTAATGAGATCTGTGTTTTATGTCATGGTATAATTTCTTTCTGTGGTGAGCATGTTTTATAAAATTTTAAAATATTCCATTAGCTAAAAATTAAGGCTTTCTGCTAACAAAATACATACATAGATGCACATTACACATGGGTGCTGGCAAAGAGGCAGGGAAGCTAGGGAACTTTCCTCCCTCTGGATTTTTGTACAAAATGAAAACTGATGAAAGGCAGGAAATGCATCAAATGTTAAATAAAATAAAAAATGCAAGTATTAAAAAAAAGTAGTTCCCTATCTTGGATACTCTAAACCTGTTGGTAAAAACAGTCCAAAATATACATTTAAAATGAAATTTTCTTGCTCCCTGCTGGGCAAAACCTGGTATTACATATGTTGGTCATCACATCCTCTTGATTCAGTCACTCTAAGAGTACTGCTTTAAAAGTATAAACTGCAGACCTTCTCATTATGTCATTTTCCCTGTTTCTTTGTTACTTCATATCTGTTAAGTTCAGATATTTTCAATATATTGTTTTCAAAAAATTATCATTTGAGAACTCTTTATTCTTACAACAGTGTTAAATAACTATAATCTTTCATTTTATACAGACTATTGCTTATTCTATGAATGCACTATGTTGTACAGAACAAGGGAAGACAGCGTCCTGGTGCTAAAGCCACTTTATATGGTCTTTCTTCCGTACGGCGAGAAGGAGATGTCACAGTTAACATGATGAGCTCACATACTACTGTTAGGACGAAATTTACAGTTGGACCCCTGATTCTGAAGGTAGAGAAAGAGGTTTGTATCAATCACGAAAAGAACAAATTTGTGTTGCTTAAACTTAACTCTCATCAGTCTAGTCCATCACACCAGTAAATTAAATTATGGAATAATTGTTAACACCATCCAGTGTGATTCAATTTATAGATATTTATTGCCTTTACATTTTTTGGTCAGCTGACAATCTTCAGAAGGCATAAGATCAGCAGTAGTTCCTGAACATGTTGATCTTATGCCTTCTGAAGATGGTCAGCTGACTGAAACACGTAAAGGCCATAAATATCCACAAATTTAATCACACTGGTCGGTGTTAACAATTATTCTGTGTTGGATGCATATATATTTAAAATTAATTATAAAATAAATAAATTGTATGATATTAAATTTCAGTCCAGGTCAACTCCATACAAAGAAATTACTGGAGTGCAAGAGCTAAGATAATTATTCACACAATCATCTACCTTCTATGATACCATATACCTAAATTTTACACCTTTAAGGGACTCCCCAAAGCACATGTAATATCGGGGAAACTGTAAAATCAAGGAAACACGAAGGTTACAACACAAAGAAAACTGTGGTCTTTTTTAAACCATAACTTTGGAAAATCATTTAAAATATACATGTTTCAATACTAAGAGTGTAAATGTAAATGAAAATATGGTTCTTGGTTTATTTTACATTGGTTTATCAACTGCTGCGTTAGTGTCACATAAGTAAGAGGAGATATTGGTTGTCACTGGTGAATAGAAAGGATGTGGAAGGAAGTAGTCATGGCCTATTTCAATGCACTACTTCAGCATTTGCCTGGAATGACTGGAAAATGTAATTCATACCTAGTTACACTATATCTTCAACTAGTCAGTCTTTTGTTTCTATTCTCCCTGAGCTCTCAGTCTGTATAATTCATTTTCAACTTTGTTGCACATTATAGTAATACTGTTCTGGGTATCAAAGTATGTGTATATACATTCTGGCTGCTTCCAGTCCCTTTGGTGCATCAGAGAATGTTTTATGTTCTGCAACTTCCTCTTCCTCTTCTGTTTCTTCTTCTGGCCTAGTCAAAAGTTGACCTAACACTTGGTCATCATTCTTGATTCCACAGACCTCGAGAGCACTGTCACATGTTGGGTAGTCCTCAGACTTCACTCCAAGAGGTCATGAAATATGCTAATCGTCCTCTTCAGCTTCAGTGAATTTCACTTGCTACTGACATGCTCAATCAAGATATCACACTTCAAAGAACAGTTCTTCATTGTAGTAGGTGTTATCAATCTCCAAGTTTCTGACCTTGGTCCATCCCTCTCTAAGAGTGATTTCACAATGGGCTATATAGCTTGAGGTGTGACTTCAGCATTACCTATCTTTGTTTCCCATCTTTCAAGTGCCATTTTGCGGGCCATTCACCGGATTGATTTTGTGACCCAATTGACTATCGTTTCACACACTGGATCCCTGGTTTCTTGCCACAATTTTTGTAGCCTCTGCTTATGTTTTAACAAACAATCTAGACCACGAAGATCGCTGTTTATGTCTGAAAGCGTAACTTTGCTTGATGACAATCTATATGCCGAAGCAATAGGGGCTGTAAAGTAGCGCACCGCTTTATCAGTTTCTAACACGATTTTATTTCAATTTTAGGTGATATTAATTCAGAGTCGAGGCTTTGAAACCGATCCCAATCTGTACATTTTTCAATAGGTTCAGAAAGATTCCTAATTTTAAAATGATCCAGTATGTGGAATATTACATTATTGGTAGGTGATCTGAATTCAGAATATCAGAGACCATGACATCTGACACTCTGATATTTTTGTGGATCACAATATCCAGCACATCACCATATCCCGAAGGGGAATAATGAGTGGGGCACTGTGGTGCTGAAATTTTGAATTCATTCATATCAAACAAATCCATCAGTTTCTCACCTGAGGTGTTTGAAATTCTGCTATTCCAAAATGGGTGTTTTGCATTAAAATCACCTGCCAAAATAGACTTACGTCTAAAGCTTAAGAGCCCAGTGATGTCAGCATCACTTCAGGCCCTGCCTGGAGATTTATAAACAGCTGCAAGCAGCACTTCACTATTACCAATTGGTATGCAGACCCCTGTCGCTTCTACTGAAACAAGGGGTGGTAGGTCTACATGGTTATGGGGAATGCCTTTTCTAACTGCAACGGCAGTTCCGCCTTTTCTGACCGGGTGGCGGTTGGTTCGATAAAAGTGATAATTTGGAATAAAGAACCTCTAATGTGGTTTCAGATGTGTCTCTGAAAATAGGACCACATCTACGTGTAGGTTTTTGCAGCTGTTTACTGAGTTCATAGCGCTGCCTCCCAATGCTGTTCGAAGAAATGTTATGACTTTGAGGGGCCTATGAACCCTAGTGGCCATTTTGTTTCATCAGATTTAGGGCAATTTTCATAATTGCCACTATTTTACCCTCCTCAGATACTGCATCATTGAACTCTGTAATAATTTGCTGTACTACAATCACTACTCTCAACATATTGTCGAGAGGTTGACTGTTTAGATGTGGAGCCTGTACTGACTGACCTGTTTCCTGCTGCAGTGCAGGGGCCGGTACATTTTGTTTTCCTGTTATGGGTGGACAAGCCACTGGAACATGGTTAGTCTGAGGTCTCTGCACTGCCTCAGAGTGCCGCCGCCAACAAGATATCTGGGGTGATTATAGTTTATGAGAACGCCCTCCCCGTGGCAGTTTTGGGTGTTCTATGTGCCTTCCTTTTTTACAGCTTTTTCTAGGCTTGTTTTCAACCGTGATAATTGGCAGGATGTAGTTTGCCCCCCTCCGCCAACCGACAGTTGTAGCATGGAGTGGAAGCAGAGTTTCCCTACTCTGGACAATCCTTGTGCAGTTGGCTGCCTCCACACCACAAACAACGGAGAGGTTGCTTACACTTAGCCCAGACTTGGCCAGACGTTTGGCAGTTATGACATTAAGTCCAGTCTGGGACCTATAGCCTCCACCTTGATAGCTATGTGGGAAAGGCTAGGCAGATTGAGGATTTTTTGTGACTTTGCCGGCCTGGGCAAGGTTATGAGGAACAAGTGGAAGTTTCCGGTCATTGCTTCTTCGATAGGTGACCGGCGGGTTTCATTTGTTTAACTGTTAACAATGTCAAAGCCCAGGTTTTCCAGTCCTTCTGAAATGTCCTTAGCGGGGGTATTGGGTGGGAGGTGTCATATTACTGCTTTAACAGACATCTGAGATTTGGGGAAAAAGGAATAGTATGTGAGGCTACTGCTGTTGAAATGGGATTTGACGGCTTCGAAATCAGCCACAACTTTCGTAACGACTCTGGTCCCGTTCCTTGTGCTACAGAACTTAAAGTCGCCCTTGATCACGTTCTTCAGTCGCTTCTGTAACAGAATCAGATTTTTCTTTCTACTTTAATATTATTTGAGGCGGCCTACCTGCTTTGCCAGGGACTGTCTCAAGTGTAGCAGCCTCTGCACCGGCGTTGTCGGTATCCATAGAAGTCCTTAGGGGGGCGAAAAAGTTGCAGATGGCAACCTCCTCAGAGGTGTGTGACTTTGGCGGCAGACACTGCTTTTTTTTAAGTCAGGGCAGTATCGTTGGTTTCGTGCCACTTGCACCACCAGACTTCTTTGAAACCATCCTCCTGAATGGTAGCAGACTTGAGTGACTCAGGCTGACCAGCTGGGCTGCTTGCCTTCAGCATGGCTTTTACCTCCTTCAAGGCGACTGTGTATGTGCCTACAGGACACTAAACAGGGTCCACATCTTTGTACTGCTGTCGCTGAGCGGCACGCTAACCAATGGGCATTGGAGCTGCTGTGGCAAGCGCAGATTGGGTAGCGCTTGCTTCACTGTGGGAGGCTTCGACAAATATAATGTAAATGTAAATTTAATATAGATTTGTTGCACATAACATCAAAGATTCACATCATCACCATGTTCTAATTGTTGACTTACAAACAACATTTAATGCAGAATTTGTAGGCATGTGATGATGTATCTCCATATCAAATGTCACATGCTTAACTTCAGCAGTTCATTAGTTATTCTTATCTAACCAAGCTTTAAATGCAGATTTCATATTCTCTCCATGTATTGCCTTATATTTTATGACAACAACAAAAAACCTTAACAGAATTTGTATATTCTTCAAATGCCTACTACCACACATAATTTCATTACGTGTATTATGTGGTGCTACCATTGCTCCCACCTCACAAATTCATGTGTCCATTGTGTTGGTATTACTGATTGCAGGAAATTAAAACATGTGAGTATGGAGTAACCTCCAACATTAGAGTATCCATATTAAATTTCATTATAAATCATCCAGCAGCTATTGGAGTTCAAACGTGCACACATACAGACACAACCACCCCTATATGCAGCATTCATTTCATGCACATCATGCAAAAAGCACAAATGATGATCAAATAAAAACAAGATTATAAGTGACTGAGGTTACCTCACATTCTTCATAGATTACCATGTTTGTCAATGATGAAAAACATTACATTAGTAGCACCTTTTAACATCTCTTCCCTACACATAATATCACACTGTATTGCATGATGCAGAAGTATCCTCAGCCATCCATCCCATAGCTAGTTGCTATACTAACTGAGCTAACCTGGCTCATAATCATTTGTGTCCCAATATTATCTTTCTCAGTTTGGTCGTGGTGCTAAGAAGGATATCAGAAGTGCAACAGCCACAACAACAGAGATGATAGGAAAGTTAAACCTGAGAGTGTTACATGGTGGAGCTGCCACTCTCCATTCAATCAGAGTGATGCAACCCAAACAGGTGAGTATCAAACATTAATATGGCTGCCACCATATGTATGTCCTCATACACAGGATGTAACACAAGAGCAGAATCATAGGATTTTGTACACAAATGTTCAGACTCTCGCGCTCTTAAAGTTTTGCATCAATGAACTCAGTATTCCATAATATTATGGAATACTGAGTCTTCTTGAATGCATTGTTTTACATCACAAATAATTTAATGCTGGTGTTTCTACACTTTAAAAGTTCATACCAAAAAGTCTAGTGCAAATGGAATCCAGAAAACCAATCCACAGTACCTGATTCACTTTTCTGATAATGTGCTCTCTTGTCAACTATGTGTGAATAAAGTAAAGTGTGGAGGTATCCCATCCTAGAAATAGTGTAGTTATGAAAGTGCCATTGCACTGATGTAAGGATCTACAAATTCATTCAACATTGCAGTGCACTATATACCTTACCCTGATATTAATATAAAAAAAATGTGCTTCTAGTAGTAGCTTTGCTCCATAGATGGCATACCAGATCATAACATTTGGGTTCTCTTAACATGTGACGAGGATAATCACTTACCTAATAATGGCTCTTATGCTGACTATTCCACTTGGATGAAAAATTTCTTCATCACTGAATAACATTTTACATATGTAAGGGTATCGTAAAATTCAATAAAAAATCCATCCCATCTGTTGTGATCATCATGTGGTTTTCTTGCAAACAAATACGTATGAAAGGATGAATTGTGTCGTTTCAAAATGCATACAACAGGTATAAGATGTACTGCACCTTCTGGCACAATATTTTATATTAATTTTTGTGGGCTAGCTTCATTATGATAAAATCAGGATCTGTATTTGACCACGAACTACTGCTTAATTGCTTGTCTGCCACACTTCAAAATTTATAAAAACATTCCAGTAACTTTGGAAAGATTTTATGCTGAGGCATGGGTTTCATCAATTATCCTTGCTAAGATTCATCATAATCATTCGTCTTAATTCCACTGCATATAAGATCATATTTTCAGTCTTTTTCCTATACTCTGTAACCTGTTCACACCAAGCTAAGTCTCATGATACCTTCAAAGAGAAAATTTGAAGTTACTTACACTCCTGGAATTTCTAAATTATACAGGAACATATTTAATGCTATTGGCGAGTTCACTACTCTGTGCTTCACCACAACTGATCCTTTGCCAGCCATGAAGCGCATGCGAATTTGACAATAAATCAGCATGCTTGGCGGCCGATAACGTTTGGACTGAAGGAAAATAACTTGTAGACCTCTACACAGTATTATTTTACATGGCAGCAGTGAGGTTCATGCATGTGGAGTTTGTTTATGATTTGTCAGCAGTAAGCAGTAGTTATCAGCGCCATGAGACATTTGTTACCAGTTAACAATTAGTCACCTGTGTGGCACGACATGTTTCGCTATATTTTAAAGCAACGTGTATTTCTCTAAGACACCTACATGACATATGGATCTGCTGGATCTGTATGCTGAGTCATCAGCAAAATTTGCATGCAATTTGCGGCCAGCAGTGCACCAGTAGTGATGAAGCGCAGAGCCGTGGAAACGTAAATTTTATTAAAAGAACATTCTATATATATAAACATATATACACTCTTGCAAAATCATTGAATAATGCAGAATATGAAAGAAATCAAGAAGGGGAATAAGGATAATGGCTCTAGCTCAAAGTACAAATGCTTTCACATATGGAAACACTGATTCAGTTTAGCCATCTACAGGGTCTACAGGTATTCTACACATTCAGTTTATTTAGTGGAACACACCAACTGCAATAGTCAAAATTAATTTTGTCATTCATCAGACATATAATTTACAGCCATACAGTCAGTATATTAAATTTATGTCAAAATCCAGTACAGTCAAACCAATACAACTGCAATTAAATTGATTTTTAAGAGGGTTAAAAAATTCTCAGTCAGAAAGTCACATGCATATCAATTTCTTATCCTAACCATCATTAGGTACCCTCATTTTTCATCAGCATAAATGAAAAACTGAAGAAGAAAATAATGACATCACTTCTGCAGCAACTGTTCCCCCTAATCTCCCTTTGATTCCAGCAGACTTTCATTTTATCTGGACATTAAATAGGAAACACGATTTTTTTTATTGCTAGTGGGGTGGGACTAAGTCCCTTGTACTGCGGTCACTTCTGGCCTGTTGTACCAGCCCCAGATGATAGGTGAGGGTGATTGTGGAGCAATTGGTAGAATGAAGATTGGCAGAGAAAACCGAAGTACTTGGAGAAAACCTTGCACCAGCGCCACTTTGTCCACCACAAATCCCACTTGATCAGACCTGGCATCGAACCCGGGCTGCCGCGATGGGAAGCCAGTGACTAACCGCTTTAGCTTTGGCGTGCCCTTCAAACCACAATATTTAGTCACATCATTCATTTGTAATCTACTAAATATGCAATTTTCTAATGTGAAATCTGTACTTCCAGGTTCGTGTGGAAAGTTCGGATGACCATGACAAAACTCGAGAGTATGTTTGGAAGCGTTCAAGCCATATTGCTCATGTTGTGTCACAGAAATTGACAAATGCCACTAAGTCTATGCTACAACCACCACCAATTCCGAATAGTAGCATTACAGCATGACTGGCCGGTCTCTTTTAAATCTTCAAGAACATACACTATATATCAAAACATCTTGATCCTGTTTAATACTCCTGCTCATCAATAATTTTAAATTTATATTTATGGTTAACTTATTTTGTTGCATGATTCTATAAATTATTATTACATTAAATTATAAATTATTTATTTAAATTATTATGTCATACTCAGTGTCGATTTTTTGTGTTTATTTATTAATGTCATTTATTATCTTTAAGCATTCTCATCAAATCTTAGTGCAGTTTCCTATGATATAATTTAATCCTCTTATATAGAAAGATGGACTCAAGACTGATTGTGACTGTAGGATATTGATTGTGTAACCATGTAATACACAAAGATTAAGAGATACCATTTTCCAAGTACATATTGATGGAATCTGTAGTATTTTAATTGTGATATTATTTGAGCCAATTTTGTCTTTCAGCCATGTTATGATATACATTTATTTCAAAATCGTTTACCCACAGCATATTCAATATACAAAACACAGTGTAATTGTCAATTACTAACTAACGGACTCCAGGGAGCCGAGTCCTTCTAGAGAAGCCACAAGTTGCTCAGCTACTCAGATTTTCCAATATTTTACAGCAGTGAATGGACCATTACTGTGTTCACAACAGCCTGCCACTGGTCTCTAGCCTAAGCCAGATTGGTCCAGGCCATACCATTCCATCTTATTTCTCCAAGATCAATTGATAACAACTATGATTTTAAATATTTATATTGTGAAAATATATATGTGGCATATGCAGATATGTACTTATACTAGAGGTCAGCTTAGAAAGTTAATGATCTGACAACACCAGTTAATTTTTTAGAGCTTGTGTTGTGTGCCTCTCAGGCTACAGCTAAAGTATCATCTACTTTCATATACTTCTTGTGGTTATTCTGCATACCACAGCTACTGAAGATATTTCAATCATATTTCTCTATAGAGTTTGGTTCACTGCTTTCATCCTAATGTCTGCGGATCTATCCAGCCTCAGTAGCCATTATTATCTCCCGATGTGAATATGTGAAAGATAAAGTTCTTAACCACCAAAAGGAAAGTATCACCATGAAAGAAGTTATACTTCATCTGCTATGGGAACAAGGGTGCATCATTTTTAGTGTGATATAGATTGTTACATCATCAATGGGATTCCCCCCCCCCTTGGCACTGCAGCCCCAGTGTGCCTAGGCCTACCTCCATGAACTTCTCCGTTCACTTCGGTCAATGGAAAATTACTGGGTTCTATTTTCAACATATTTCCAGTATGCATACAATGCTGGGATATTCAAGCATATGTACATAGGACACTTCTTCCATATGGTCTCCTATGCAAGGTGAGAGGTATGCTGGTTTGTAAAGTAGATAGACTCTTATCACTGATCTTGACACTGTTGAAAAATTTTGAACTAAATTGAATTGACTCTTGAAGTAAATATATGAAACTAATAATGAACTTTTCTGGGAACAAACAAAAATGCTTCATATTTTTTTTTCAGTTACTGACTCATGTCTACATGCATCATCCAATATGCTACATGCAGAATACATATTTAAAGTCAGAGATGAATCTACAGTTGCAGTTTGCTTATTAAGTTCAATATGTAATAGCCATAATAGCGACACATTATTTCTTAATTTTTATTATGTGAATGGTTAGTAGGAACAAGAATTGAACCCAGGACTCATATTTACTATCAAGTATGGTAGCAATTAATAAAACTGAGCAGGTTGTTGTAGTGGAACTGCTTTATATTTGTGTTTATTAGGTACTCAGTTCAAATCTCAGCTGAGTTACAAGCTATTCTGATTGAGTTGGTTTATGGATGACCTCACTCTCTCCATATAAATGCTGAGATGGTACTTCGAAATAGTTCAGTCATCTCCCAATGTAAGTGATAAAACAAATAAAAAACATGGCCTCTGCACATTAACAAACTGTTTAAAAAAATACCTAAAATAATAATATTGTGACACAATAGCAGAAAGCCAGAACAGTGGAACTAGAAGAGGTGGCCACTGCAAAGCACCGGGGAGGTAAATACATTTCCGCAGCAACAGCTGGTGATGCAAAAATAGAGGAACCATTGGAACTGGTGTTTTCTCTTTGGTCCATGCCAGAGCTATAAAGAGAGGACCAGTAGTAATCGAGTCAGAGTGGAGTAGTGTGTATGTATGTGTGCGCATAAATTGAAAATATTAATATAGGAATTCTATTTGTTATCTTATTCCAGAGATAGCCATTGCTTCTTAGAAGAAATGCAATATAACTTAGAATGGATTTATTTAGAAGCAAGTATAAAGTTTAGAGGTTGTTATTTTAAGTGGTGACAGGATTTATACAGACAGCCCTTACTATACCGTCTCTGAACTTCCGTGGCCAAGCAACTGAAGAAATACGTGTAATAAGTCCCTGCTCTTATGTGGTTTTCATGGCAATGAGTGCAAAACTGCTGGTTTTAGTTAAGTGGAAGATGATGATGTAGAATTACTGGATTCTCACTTCAAACCATTAAATAATGAGAATTTAACCAAATTAGATCAATGGACAACGGAAGAAACTAGAGATGATGGTGAGGATGATGATGAAATTCACAGAAGATTAAAACTGAATGGCTTACAAGAATTTTTTAGAAAGCTGATCAAATTGTTGATTATTTTAAAGCCAAAGATCTTATGATGGGAAGAAAATTTGAGCAAGGAATAAAGGATGTGCGTTCACCTTATCAGAAAATATTGTCACATGTAGGGGGGGTATGCATGGCGAAATGGTGGGTTCTAGTTCAGATGATTGGATTTATTAGCAGCTTGGTTACACACTCTCTCATAATTACACTTAAATACAGCACTATCGCTGATTTACATAAACTTCATAACCCACTGTTACAGGCACACTAGTCCTCTCATGGTAATGGATCTCAACACAGAAACTAGCGCTTCAGATCACTACAAATATTACACATAATTCAAGTCTTCCAATCACATGCTAAGTCTTCACATGACGAACTTCCTGTGGCTGTCACTGTCACTTAAAAACTCTCAAATACTCCCCTGTCTGTTCCATATGTACCTATATTTATATAGCTTCCGCACTAACCACGCAGAAAACAGCTATTGTTGGAACGTGTTTACCGAGCAATTGCATATCAATGGTCACAGCACAGACTCCATAGAAAGCCAGTTACATGATAGCTACCACATCCTAAGGTAAGAAATATGGTATGTTTGATTAAATTTTTTCATGATGAAATGTATAAATGGGCCTTTTACATATGCTTTTCCATACATATGAGTGTCATTTTTGGTGTCATAAACACATTTAAATTGCATTCCTTTTTTATTTCTTATGCATATAGCATATTTAACACATGTTTTCCACTGAGATTAGTGTCATTGTCCCAGTTAAACCTTAATTAACTCTTATGGTACTTTGATCCTCACTGTGATTGTCAGTGGTCATTTCTTAGTCCCCAGTACATGTTTGGGCTACAACAGCATTGCTATTTAAAAACAACTTAAGGCACTGCAGCAATTATTAATGATATGTCAGGAAAGAGTCCAATTGTAACTGATTGAACACATTATATTAATAAAGCAGTTCTATGTTCAGGAAGTAATGATGTTGAATATATCAGTGAAGTAGCATTTACCTGTCCTAATGGGCAAATGAAGAAAAGAGTGGACTCCACTCTATATAGGCTTTCTGCAAAAATATATTTTTCAATGGAATTTTAAGTCATATATAATAATATGGTGTATAGACCTATTACTAGGTAATGCATGCAACATACATGCACACAACAATAGAAGAATGGGGTTATGCAATCCGTTTTTAAGCAGTGGTTCAGTAAACACATTTACACGGCAATAGACACCAACACAACAATAGAAGAAAGATGTTTTCTATATAGTGCATGCTGAGATGTTATAAGCAAGACAGTATGAAGCAACAAGTTAGTTGCTGGTTAGAGTTGTCAGCAATTCAGTTGAGTGAAGTGATGTGAAGTAGCTGGTTGGTGAGTAAGAGAGTTCAGTTGTCAAAGTCAGCCTGTGAAGAGAAGACTAGGAGGTTGGGGTGAAATGGCTGCCAGCCTGGGACCCAGTTAGTTGAGTTGTCAATTGACAAGAGTTCTGCATGGGCAGCTGTGACAAGAGGACCTGAATGTAGGAAGCTGAAGAATCTCCATTGTGCTAAATCTGTTGCCAGGAAACAGCTAGTGGAGATTGTAATAGTAGACTGAGGACACTAGCTTGTGTGTGTCAGTAATCTATAAAGTGTAGTTCAGAGTGGTGAATATGAGCAGTCAATAAATCCAATATCCATTCCATACCCTGTCTATAGTCATACATCCCTAAATATGTGACAATACATTCCTGTTTATTTTCTAGTAGAGTTTACTACTGAGGTAACTAATGGCATAAGATATTCATTACATCAAAAAGAGCCACATTGTTTTGCTGCTGAAGACATCTGAAGTTAACAGGAAGCATATACAGACAAACTTTACTCAAATACATAATGTACATAATGTAACAGTTATGGATGTTAAATAAATCAATCAATCAAATACAACCTGCTGAATTTAGTGTTAAACTGAAAATATTAATGCACAAGTCCAGTGGTGCCCTGTCCCTAAGGACTGGAGGAACTTATTCCCATCTACAAACAATGCCTCTATATATGAAATGTAGCTTGATGAATTTATAATTTGTTTTCATTTTGTATGGCATAAAAAGGTTTTTTCAAGGAACTAGGATGGCATGGTCAGTATACCAATTGGCTATGGGCTGGACAGCTGAGGGATTGAAGTTTTCACTCCTAGTACTAGCCAGATTTTTCTCCTATCCATGTTGTCCAGACCACTTCTGGGGCCCACCCAGCCTCCTATCCAATGGGTACTGCAGGCTTTTTCCCCAGTGGTTACCTCATTAAGCACTATGACATGAAGGTGCGGGGGAGTTTATGTATGGATCCACATTTTCTTGACGTCAGCACTAGATCGAAGTGAGTAGTCAGCTTCATGCCCCTACTACTTTAACCCCTGGGAAAGAGCCCCCAGTACCCATTGGATAGGGGGCTGGGTGGGCCTCAGAGCTGGTCTGGACAACATGGAGAAAATTCTTGACCCTACCAGGATTCAAACTCCAACCCCTCAGTCATCCAGCACATAGCCAGTCACTATACTAACTACACTATCTGTAAACTGATAAAATTAGAATTCAAACTTGTTCCTTGACATCAAAACTGAACTTGTGTGCTCAGATATATTTCATGCATAACAGCTTATATATATACCATTTTTGTCAATGGACAATTATTGTAAAGTCCATACCCAAATAGCAAAGTCTACCTCCCGTACATTGGGTAACCAGAGCTCTTTCTCTCTGTGTAAAGCACTGAGGTATGACCTGCATGTGTGCTGACCACATATCTCCATCTAGTGCCAAAGATAAAATGTGTGGCTCAATGCATTTATTTTGTAAGTAATTTCACAGCACTGTCAGCATCTCGATTACATAGTGCCAAGTGGTAGGATGATAGATGAAGGATGAATTGGAAAGGCTGTGGAAGGAAAAGGCGGTGATGACTTATTCGAGGTAGTCAAGTAATGAGAAAAACCAGGAGTAATCTGTCAGGATATCTGGTGTCCTGGCTGAGATTCGAACTGAGAACCTCCTGAATATGAGTCAAGAGCGTTACCGCTATGCCAACCTGCCTGATAAGATGATTGGAGCATCACCTTCGCTTACCCATCGGCCCTCGTTAGTTAATGAAGGTTTAAATTTAATAGGATTTCTTCTTCAGGCTGTGACGCCGTGAGAAACCCATAAGAAACCCAAAAGTTAGTAGGTACTCTTAGCATTTATTCGCTACTGTCATGCCCAGTCATGCCTCTCATGCATAATTAGGATAAAAAGTATATTTTTTTTTTTCTTGGCACTACAGCCTTAGTAGGCCTAGGCCTACCTCCATGAACTTCTCCGTCCACTTCGGTTTTCCTCGATCTTACACATTGGGTAGTTCGGTAGGACTCCTTGGGGTGGGGGGGTGATCAGCTCGTCGCAAGGCCTCTACCTGTACACAAACTAAACATCCATGCCCTGAGTGGTATTCGAACCCACGATCCCGGTTTCCAAGGGAGCGAAGACAGTACATGCCTTAGACCGCTCGGCTACCGTGACCGGCAATAAGTGTATCTATTGACCCTAAATCTATTACGTATCTAATCAACCATAGCACACAGCAACATTCTATCCTTACTCGTTTCATTAAGACTACTTTTCTCCAGTCAGTTCTGTTACCAACGTTTGCGGCTGTGTTTCAGTGTCACAGAATGACGGTTTGTCTACCATTCATGCCTACACAGCTGATCTTGTCACAAGTGTGAAATGTGGTTTGTGCTCCTGATCTTCCAAGATCATAACATTATTTCGTGAAAAGTATGTGGTTATACGTAGTTTACTAATTAATGTGTGTTATATAAATATTTATAGCCTATGTGTTCAATTTAATTCTGAACTGATAAAAGACTGCCGGAGAAATGAGTGCGAAAGATAAGGACAACAAAACTTTTCACGAGAAATTCAAACAGTTTTTCCGAATAAACAAAGGTGGAACAGGTAGGGAGAATACGTATGCATTTATTTACATCCCCCGGCTCTATTTAAAACTTCCCTTAGAAGATCCACTGTACCCTTTATTCGATTTCATTATTTGCTTTAGTCTAGAATGTGTATTCCATTACAGCAATTCCCAAAATTTGGAACATGTATTTTTGTTACCACTTCATGTTATGTTATATTTAGAGCAATATCTTACTACAGTGGCATGTTTATTTTCGTATCCTTTAGGTAACATCAAAGGCAGAGTGGATTTTGCCTTGACTCAAGACATTGAAAGAGACCTTAGTCCTGAAACCCCATTAAATCATCGCACGAAGGTTATGAAGGAACTGAGTGAGGCCGTTCTTAAGAACCGTCTTGAGGATGTAAGAGCTTAAAGTGACAGTTCTTCCATAGTTCTTATAGAATTTCGTAGGGTGACTAGAGAGAGGACTAAAAAAAATGTAAATGTAAAACTGTTGCTTAGCACTGAAAGTTATTTTTATTTTACCAGTTTTAAATGATTTTATGTAAAGGAGAGAGGATTGGTTTGTGGAATGATGTGTAACAACAGGTGAATATTGTGATTAAATTTCATAAGGGACTTGTTGTTCTTGAAAACAAAGTCTCTTTTTTTATACTTGAAATTACTAAATCACAAGAATCAGAATTGCGCAGTATACTGAAAATCTAAATTAATGTGAATTTATTGGGTACATAGGTTGTAAGACCATTCATATACTCTTCCAGTCCCCTATTCCTTCACGGTATTGTCTTGTGGTACGAGACAGAACACAAATCATTCTTTCCTATCCAGTTGCCTGTACAATTTGTGAGTTCTCATATTTCAAATTTCTATAGTGTTTTCTATTATGTTTTGAGTTATTAGGCATATGTGTATGTATGTGTGTAAATATGTCTGTTTAATCAAGTTATCCAAAATATACAGTTCTCTCTTCTTCACAGAATATTATCAGGTGAGGAGTGCAAAATTATGATGCTTAATTTTTTATAAACATGTTAATTAGAGTGCTATACATTTATTACTGTAAAATGTATATAAGTCTCACATCACACAACTTAATTCAATAATATTTTACTTCATGTTTATTCATTCTTTCAGAATTCAATAGAAAAGTTATGGGCATGTCTTCAAGATTTGTTACACCGTGAAGTTTCAAAAGAACATCGCCACCTTGCTTTTTCCTTTTTCCGTTGTCTTATTCAGGGACAGTATGACAAACTAGGGCTTATGAGGGCTCACTTCTTTCAAGTCATTAAGACACATGATCATCCAGAAGATGTAGCACCAAGGTATGTTATAATTCAGAACCCAGTGCCCATTACAATAATGAGGAGGAACATGTCAGTATTATTATGATATTTGTGAACTTTGTAGTATTGTACATGTTATGAAAAATTGAATCAGGCACCTTGCAAAGGAAAAATAGGCAGCTAGGGAAGAAATTTCTAAGCTGAAAGGAGGAAATGTCAGCAGTAACTTATGGAGCAGGATAATTCAGGAAATTTAGAAGAACCAAAAAATTCAAACTCCAGGTCCCATAGGTTCTCTGCAAATGATGCTAGTCAAGTTCAGCTGAACAAGAAATTCGGTATACTGGCAACAGATGCTTTGGAAGTTGGTCAGCAAACCCCATTTCTGTTGAAGCAAAAGGCAGGGAACTAAACTCATTCACAGTGAAGACAGAAAAAAATAAAAATAGGAGAAAGGTTTTCATTTCATGCATCCTGTTGTGTTATTATATACAGCACTTTATTAAATCTGTTACAACACAACATACAGTGTTCAAGGCTAAATTAGCTTTGCTACATGTTTCGGCTATTCATAGCCATCATCAGGCAAATACACAATCATCATGTTTACACACTAGTGAACTGCAATTGCGTAAGTTTGGATACTTGACAATTATCATATTATAAAACACATGGTATAAAATTACAATAAAATAAAACTTATTATAAAACAAGGGTTATTTCATAAAATAAGGTTAAAACTATTCAAGTGATAATCTATATCATGTAGTCAGTTGCAATCTTGTATTTTCCCGCAGACGTGGTATATTCTAGACTTTTATATGATAAACTGTTTGGAGGCCCGTGAAGTATAGTTTTAACATTAATTGTTCTTCCTTGACTGCCAAGGACTCTCTGCATTCTCGTTCATATTCTTGGTCTCCCTCTTGATTTGATTCTGTTTGGTTTTGTCAAAGTCAAAGTCCAAGTCCAAGCCACATTGCTACTGACAGTCAGTCAGTCAGTCAGTAAGTCTTGGGGCTCATGACCAGATATTTATTACTGTTTGACAGTTATGGTCTTGCTTTTGTGGGGTGTCCTCTCTGACAAGAGGATGGGTCTGTCTTTTACATATGCTGCTGGTCCTTGCCAGTGCAATCTTTCTTGGGTCCTAGTCCCCTGAGGCTCGTGGCCATATTTTACTGTCTCAGATTTGAGACTTCCCCTTTCGTTGCCTCCTATGACTCGCAGGGTCACAGTAAAGGTATTCGACCCAGCCTCCACACGGGCATGTCCTGACTCAAAATCAAAGTAAGAGTCTGTACCACTTATATAGTCTCAAGGTGGAACCTTAAAAATGCCACTTTATTTGTCAAGAATGCATATTTATTGGTCTGTTACCTACCAATGGGTGTTCTTTATTGTTATGTATTGTTGTACGCATTACCCAGCAATGAGCTGTTTACCAAGAATCTGTCTCCATGAGAATGTGTTTATCAAGCTGTTGCGCAGCAGTGGATCTATATATCACAATATCGTGCTGTACAGTATGGGCATTCCTACAGATCACTCAACAGTGTAATGAAATTAAATGCTTTTATATTTACTGATGAAATATCCAAGAATATGGCTTGTGGATGTACAAAATCTGAAGCAGCTGTAACCAAAGTTTTAGTGCCAGCTTCTGTAAAAAAAACCATAAAAAAGGTAAAGTTATCCCTGTAACAGGCCATGAAGGCACATAGAGTTGTGAGATGCGCCAGCCACCCCTTACCCCCAGGAAGGCTCCTAGTACTCATTTCTGTTAGAGGTTGAGTTGACCCCAGGGCTATAGTGCTGCTGAAAGGATTAAATCATAAATATGGTAAATTTATATATGCTTGGAGGATATGCTAACATTCTTCCTTTTTATTCTGTGGCAAGTGATGCTTAAAACCATGGCCAGAGCAAACTCCCAGTTACATTAAAGTATTGGACACCAAAACATGGTGTACGAAACAGTCGTAGATATTTATGATGACCTGAATGAAACATCAGCTGGGATATCCCAACAAGTTAAAAGTGACTGCTGTTGGCTTGATGACTGGAGAATTCCTCTTTGCCACAATGTGCAGACCAGCTTTAAGACTCTCCCAGCTTCTTTATCCCCAGGGATAAAGCAGCTGCCAAATGTTGATGTCCATTCACCTCCATATAATTCTGAAGGTAGAGGAAGAATGGAATTATATAGCTACAAGGAATCCAAGCCTTATAGTGCATTGTAGTACCAATGTGTTGTCCTTCAGTATGTGCAAAATACAATACTTTTTGTTGTTCCAGATTTGAGCTGTTGCAAAGTCTGACAGAAAATGGGAAAGACATTCTGTACTTTGAGGAAGAGGTGGGACCTTTCCTCCTTCACTGGATGCCAGCTGTAACTGGTGTTGCTCGCACAAAGGAATTCCTCTCAATGCTTGTAAATGTCATCAAGTTTAATGCGGCATATGTTGATGAGGATGTTATTTCTGGTCTTGTTCAGTAAGTGCCGTTTCATCAAATTTTAGCATCTCCCCTGCATAGGTGAAGGCCTTTGGCAAACATCTGAAGTATTAAAGGTGATATATTAGTGATAATACAAGTACAGGATATTCCAGAGTACTTTACAGACTCTTGGTAGTGGCGTAATAGGAAAATTACTGCACATCACTGGGAAAGTGAAAGTTTGATAGGTGAATGAGAATGTCTTCATGAGTATATAGTTTGTCAGTAAATTCTGTGTACTTACTGCTGTTTCAGATAGGTTGCTGAAGGTGATTTCTTCCAACATGTTGCCACATGTTAGTGACTAGACATCTGGTTGGGATTGATAATTGGATTTATTGAACATCTATGACTCATAATTACAAATAATTATAACACTGTCACTAATCTTCACACTCTACAGATCTCTAGCACACTATAAGACTTCTCAGTCTGTTTTGTCTTCACCAGTCATTGTTGGTACCAGCTTCTAGTGGTGGAGATTCCTCTACTTCCATGCGCATGGCTATTCACAGACTGCTGACACTTGACTCATGACTGACTTCCAATTGTGACTCAAAGTCAAAGTTTCTTTACAACTGACGGTTTACCAACAATCAGTTTGTCTCGGCGCCAAGCCCTTTGAGACTCACAACCAAAGATTTTTTTTTCCCACTGAACCCTTGAGATCATAGTCCTTATATAACATCCTCTCTGGCAAGAAGGTGGGTTTGTCTCTTGTGAATACGTATGCTTGGTCTTTTGTCAAGCGTGCATATGACACATATAAGATGTTACTGAAAATTCTTTCTTTTGCACTATATGCAAGTCCTGTCAGTACTGGCTTTGTAAGGGAGATCATGCCAATGTTACTTATGCTACAATGGCAGCTTAGTTGCTTGAACAGTCACAGGCTTGACCACCACCAAATTTAAGTCTCATATATATTCTGTCCATCTTCGCTTTGTCCTGTTTTGCCAACATGTTCATTCTCTTGATGTGATATGATTTCCACTTGTTGACTGCACAATTTTGTTGTATAATCTTACAAATCGCAGACTGGTGCATATTTCAGAAAATTTCCATTGGTGCAGAGAATGTTGTTTTGTACATGCTGCAATTTTAAGAGGCAGGTATCTACCGCTAATTCCCAGGCGGGGCAAGCATAAGTCATTACTGATCTGACCAGTGCCTTAAGGAGGGTTAGTTTAATATTGGCGCTTAAATGCTTGCTTCTGAGTAGGGAGTAGATTCCAATAAATGTTTTGCAGCCCTTGGCATCAGTCATCTGTGTGTGCAGTCTCCATGTAATCATCTTATCAAAGATTACACCCAGATATTTTACATGATTGATGAAGGGGACATTACATCCAGTCATTGTAAGATGAGCCTTAGGGGATTGAAGTATATGAGAAATGTAGATGTCCTGAATCTTGTCTTCATTGATTTTTATGTTCCAGCGCTCACACTACATCTCAGTAGCATTGAGGCCTCACTGCAGCTTTCTGAGAGCATAACCCTCTTTATAGTCTGTTGCATTTATATAAAGGTGTCATCAGTGAAGAGACATAGAAAGACACCAGGTGTTCAGGGCATATTATATATATACTACCACAGTCAATAAGTTCGTGGAATGGCTGCAAAGCATTGTACGGGAATTTACTGTCAGTATGTTTCAACAATGTTTTCAACAGCTATATCAACGTTAGCAGACTTGCATAGCGGCCAACGGCAACTATTTTGAGGGCCAGTGTGGATCTGTGTAAGTGTATGTGAATACCTTGTAATATGGTGCGATGAAACCACATTCCACGAACTTAATGACTCTACCATGTATATACTCTACATTGTGGGGAACAAGACAGAACCCTGTGGCACCCCTGCTTATATATCCCTTGGCATAGACATTTCACCTTGGACCAAAACTCTGAATTTTCTCTAGAAAGAAAAGAGCTAATATGCTTGATTAGACTGATCGGAAATTTTAAATCTGATAATTTACATGCAAGCAAAAGTGCTATGTTGTATTGAAGCCTTTTCACTATCCAAGAATACAGCTGCCATAAACAGGTTATTGTTGAAATTTAAGGTTACATGGTCCATGAATCTCATACATTGAATTGTTGTGCTGTAATGGACATGGGAACAAACTGGCCTGTATTAACCATGCCTCTTTCTTCAGTATGCCTTTGGACTATTTTCAGAATAATTTTCTTGAATACCTTATCTGTTGTAGATAAGAGGCTAATCAGACATAAATTTTGAGGGAATCTGGGTTCCTTACAAGGTTTCGGTAATGTTATGACTTTTGCTTCCTTCCAAGGCTTTGGAAAGTAGTACAGCTGAAGACAGTGAGTAAATAAATGTATCAGATGTACCAGTGGTCTTTTTAGAGGATGCCTAAGTCATTCGTTTGGAATACCATCAAGTCCCCACGCCTTTCTCAATTTCGATGAATTTGCTAATTTGTGTATATCACAAGGTCTTGCTTTTCTCAATGGTGTGTCATCTACAGATGTGAGCAGATCTTGGACTCTGGTCTCTACCTGTCACTCATGGTTTTCATCACATGGGTCATGAGATGTGAACAGGTTTTCTGAACAATCCACAATCACATTGGCTTTCTCATTCAGGTGGTGTGTTATTCCTAAAGGTCCATGAATAGTGGTTTGTGCCTTTGATCCATCCCTTTTCATAAGCAATTTCACAATAGGCCACAGTGCTTGAGGTATGACCTCATAATTCCCTATTTTTGTTTCCTACTATTTGAGTGCCTTCTACCGGTCAGTTGTCTGATGGTTGGTGACACAGTTAATTGCCACAGTTGGCTTAACCTCCACTGATGTTTTAGCAGACCCTCCAGACCAGGTGGATCCTTATTAAGGTCAAAGAGTGTAATTTTGCTTGTCGATGGCCTGTATGCCAAAGCTGTAGAGGAAGTACAGTCATGGGCCTCTTTATCGGCTTCTTCCCTTCATTTAATTTGGATTGTAGGTGAAATGAATTTGGAAGCCGGCCTGTGACACTGCTCCCAATCTGTTAATTTGTTAAGTGGGTCCAAAAGATTCCTGGTTCTAACATGATCAGTAAGTAGAAGATGATTGATAGGTGATCAAGTGCAGAATGTCAGACACAGTGACTTCTGACAGCTGGACATTTTTGTACACAACAGTATTGAGCATGTCACCATTTCCCACAGGAGAGCTGCTGCAATTTTAGACTCATTTATTTGCATTAAATTCAGTAGTTTCACACCTGAAGAGTTGGCAACTACACTATTCCAAATGGATGTTTAGCATTCAGATCTCCTGCCAGTAGCAACTTATGTCTAAAACGTAAGAGCTCAGTAATGTCTGCATCATTCCAGGCATGGTCTGGTGACTTGTAGACTGCTGCAAGTAGTACATCACTAATACTAATCGGCATGTAAATCCCTGTGGCTTCTATAGAAACAAGTATAGGCAAGTCTCCATAGTTGTGGGAAATACATTTCTCTCACTGCAATGACAGTTCTGCATTTTCTTCCTGGGAAGCCATCAGTCAGATGAAAGTGATAATTTGGAATAGAGAACCTATCATGGCGTTTGAGATGTGTCTCTGAAAGCACAGCCATATCTGTTTGTGTCTTGCAGCTCTTTTGCTGAGCTCATAGCTCTCCCTCCAAATGCCATTTATGTTAATTGCTATGACTTTGAGTGGCCTATGAACTCTACAAGCCATTTTCTTTCATTAAGTTAAGTACCATTTTTGTAATGACCTTAATTTTATCTTTTTCTGACACATCTTGACTGAGCACTGTCATGATCTGTTGCAATACAGTGGCAACTTTTAATGTGTCATTATTAGTTGAACTGGAAGCCTGTACTGCCAGACCTGTTTTCTGAAATTCCTGCTGTGGCAGATGCTGCTGCATGGGCTGCCGCGCACTTTTCTCATCTGTCTGCGGTGCCTGTGGTTAGTGGTGTCATGTGTCGATGCAGTGCAGCTGCACAGGACTGCTCTGATGAGGTGAGCTTAGAGAACGTCCCCCCAGAGGATCCCTTGGGAGCTCGTTTTGCTCTTCTCCTTTACAGTTCTCCTTTCACGTGGCTTCTGCCCCAATATGATGCTGGATGAGATTGCAGCAGCGTGGCATAGATTCTGCATTTATCTTTTCAGGACATTCCTTGTGCAGGTGGCCACCACTGCACCACAAACATCAAGGGGGTTGCTTGCAGTTGGCCCATACATGGCCAGAGTTTTGGCAGTTGTAGCACTGGGTAAGGCCAGTTTAAGCTGTATATAACTCTACCTTGATAAAAATATGGTTCAAGCTATTCAACTTGTATATCTCTTGAGATTTTATGTTTCTTGTTAAAGTAACAAGGAATAGAGGGAGAGTTTCCACATGGGTTTGTCCATTGGGTGCTCTTTGAGTGGCTGTTGTTTGTCTCACGTTGATGACATTGAAGCCTAAGTCCTCAAGGTTGTTGGAAATATCATCTACTGGCTTGTCTGGGGGAAGGTGATGGATTACTGCCTTGATAGGCTTTACACAATTTGGAGAGAAGGTAAAATAGTGGAGATTATTTTTCTCCAGGTAGGTTTCCTTGGCTGAATAATCTGCCATTTCTTTTGTTCAATTTAATGTATTTCAGAACTCATACTATCCTTTGACATGTTCTTTTAAGTCACTTTGTAGCCAAATGAGGTTTATGGTGGAACTCATCACTGTTTATGGTGGCCAACCTGATTTTCTGGGAGCCTCTTCTTCTGGTAGACTGTTCTCTGCTCCACAAGTCTCCATGTCCCTGTCAATAGTTCTGAGAGGTGCAAAGAAATTGCAAGTTAACACTACTTTTGGATGCAAATTAACACTGCTTTCAAGGCAGCTTGAGAGCTGTGGATGTTGGGACTGGTTTAGTCAACTTCTTGGCTAGCTTTGAGGTATTGTTAGAGATATGCCTTTTGCATCTCTTTAGTGCCTAGAAGTCATCATGCTGGACCATTCCACTGAGGTTTTGTTCACTGCGCTACTTTGTCCTGCCTGTGCACTCACCTTAAGGATGGCCTTCATTTCATTCAGTGTTACTGTGTACATGCTGCAGAGTGTACTAAAAGACAGCTTCACGTCTAGAGCTTTGCAAATGTTCGCTCTGTTCTTTTCCACACTGCTTACAATAGAGGTCCACTCAGAGCTTTCCCCCACTTAGCCAGTGTGTATCCAGCCAGGATCTCAGTGTCACTGAGTACTTTATGTACTTGTATTACAGCAGCTACTTCTGGGTGTTTGTTCATGATGGCATGAGGTGAAGATTTCAGTGATGCTAGCTTCTGTCTCCAATATTTCCAGCATCACGGTACTGGGATGTGTGCCATCTTGGTGTACAATCAAATTAATTGCATATTTTGTTGTTTCACACAGCACTGCGCACAACCACGGCCGGGCATCAAACTTCACCAATGCCACCTTCGCCAAACGGGAGTTGGCCTTAAACACAAAAAGATGTAAAGTGAAATCCTTAAAAATCATTCTCTCCAACACACATTTCTTGATTTACTTCATATTACCTCCTACCATTCTGTTGCATCATGTATATCATTTTTACAGGGAGATTGTTTTAGAGCCCCCGCAAATTATGCAGTTAGAAACACCTCCTGTGAACTTGCCCAGCATGCATTTGGATTGGTTGTGTGGCCAACATGCCAACAGCTGTGCACATTACAATTTGTCTTCAGTATCACCCCACTAAATTTTCAAAAGCTACCATGAAGTGAGCTTATGTGTTGTATGTCAACCAATAGTAAACCTGACCCTAAGTTTTGTTAACTAATGTTTTTGTAGAATGCAGAAGTCTACACACATGCATGCATGTGCATGTGCACACACATACACATACACACAACATATTAAGTGGTCCTTTGTCACCAGAGCATGTCATGTTGTCAGGTTGCAGATGGAGGCGGTCATCTCAAGAAATGAAGTACAGCAATAAATATATTAACTAAACAGATGTGAAAAGCTGGCGGAGATTATCCGTCTTTCTTGTGAATTGAGTGGGGAGCTATCAACTCCCCGCCATAATAAAGCACATGTGACTAAATATTACACAGGGTCTTCAAGTGAGAGAAGGCTGTAGAATATTCCATAATGAGCAACTTCATAATTTCTGTTCTTCACCAAATTGTTACACAGGATGATCAGATCATGGGTGATGAGAGGGGCAGGGCATATAACACGGGAACTGAGAAGTGTGTACAAAATTTTGTTCAGAAAAATCTGTACAGAAGAGATTGCAATAAATTCCCAGTTATCTGGTATCGAAGCATCCAAAATTCTTATGAGCTGGTAAACATTACAAAGAAAATAATGATTACAAACATAGCAACAGTGTGAAACTTTGATGTTATTTGAGGCAAATTTCATGTTGCTGGAATCTTCACTAGTCAGAATTCTACACTTAAATGGATCCCAGAATAATATAGTTATGAATATATATATATATAGTTTTATACAGACTATCTGTTATACAATTTGAAGGAAAATGGGCATCATAAGTTTTTCCAGGAATTTTTTATTTGTGTAGTGTATGGAGACTAGCTCTGAAAAGATTAATATATCAGATGGTATGTTTCCAGGAATACATGTTTCCTTTGCTCTTATATGAACTCAGAGGAAGTGGTGCTGACATGCCTCCAGGTGCTGGATACAGTTGTCTGTTACAGTACGTTGCCTTCTGACTCTCTCCATACATTCATCAGTGCCCTTTGTCGGACTGTCAATGTAGAAGCTTACTGTCAGAGCAGCTGGAAGGTAAATAAATTATACAAACCACATTGAACAAATTTTGATACATTCATTGCCTATACAAAAAATTTAATAATTGTCTATTACAGGGGTGAGGGGTACTTATTCAGAAATTGCATCACATCACTCTACAAGAAACCGACATGTTGGTGGCTTTCAGCATGGTCTCACTGTTTACCATAGTCCCAGCAAAAGACACAATACCGTTGCTGTCATAGTTCTCTCATCAGAGAGGTCCTCACCACAACATATTTTCTTTACAATGGCTCATCTCATGACCAGTGAGATTGTGTAGCCATGGGATCAGCCATCACCCCTGTAATAGCCAACATCTACATAGAATCCTTTGAACAGCAGGCCATAAGCTTGGCAGCCAAGAAGCTAGCACATTGGTGCAGATATGTGGATAACACATTTGTCATTTGGCCACATGCAAGGAAGAGCTCCCACTAGTACCCCATTAGTTCATGCTCAGTTCCAATCATGAACCATGGGTGCTATATAGATGGGATGGTTTGGATCCAATGTCACATCAAATCCTGATAATGGGGACAGAGGTGCCCCCTGAAATGTCAGTAATTTTTAACCAACTGACATGGCTGATAGCCATGAAGTGGGAAAGTGTGTTGCTTTTGTTAAAGTAATTTTTTTTTTTTTTTAAAATGAAAAATAACAAGATGGCCATGCAGAAGTTTTTTTTTTTTTGGTGATAATTAACCGTTGAAGCTGGGCATGTGCTATTTGGTTCAAGGATAGAACACACACACACACCCACATTATGTATGGAATATTGTTTGTAAATCAACAATTACAGACATGGTGATGATGCAGAATGCTGACAATATATCTTACAAATGTAACACATGCAGAATCTATGCTTAAATTGTTTGTTCTTCAGAAAAGAAATAAAGCTGTAATAAAAGAGTATTAGATATGACTAGAAGTATATATAGAGGAAAGTGTGCTTTATGAGTTCTGCTTTAAACTCCTTGTTCTCTGTTGCAAATGTTTACAACGGTGATAACATAATTCTTCACATTAATCATGACTGTTATTTCAGATATTGTCCATCACCTTCAGTTAATTCAAATAAGAGTATTTCAGAAGCATCCAGTTTCCAAAATATGTTGGAATTAACAGAAGATAATAAACATTTGCCAAAATAATTGTCTTTTTTTTAACAAGTCATCATCACAAGCATTTAAACTTAGCTTAATTCTTCTCATGTTTTCCTTTCTGGATTTGCATCTTTTGTTTATTTTTAATTGTTATCAGTGCAAGTTGGCACTTCCCTTATTTCCAATTTTCAGTGTTACAGAAACATATGGATCAGAAGGATAGATGAATGAGGCTTCATTTTATTTCCCATGTACTAGCCACTGGTGAAATTTCGGACTTTTGGGGTGGGGTTTCTGCTGAAGTTATACTGGGCGTATGTAGAAGTACATTTATTTCTATGAAGTTGTCACCATTTGTAGGGTAGGACAGAAACTGAATGATTGTGGACTTATCAACATACTATGAAGTAATGAATTCCTGTAAAAACAGTAGTATGAACATAGTTGATTTTTTAGTTTTGAAGGTTGTGTGGGTTTTCATCAATTTGTGCTGACTAGACTGATTTATGAGAGTTTTGTGTATAATTTTTGCATTCTAGGTGATGCGTAACTTACTAGGAACTCACATGGGTCACTCTGCATTGTACACCATGTGTCGGATACTTGAAGATCCAGGAGCTGCACATGATGTGTGCTTGTTACGTGGAGCTGTGTTTCATGTCAATATGGGTCTGTGGGGTACCAAAAGGGTCACAAGACTGAAGTGTACTTTTTCTTCAGTCCTACCTTCATTTCTCTCTGTGAGTATATCCTAATGCATTAGGTGTGCTTTTGTTTTTGGAAGTTTTGTATTTATTGTTTTAGTGTGGCAGTAATGCATCCAACTTGCATATGGGAAAACTACAAAATATCTCAGGTCAGCCTGTAGCTGAACTTAGACTGTAACTAGGTACGTTCAGAGTACAAATCAGGCAAATTGCTGCTGAATGTACTTGCTCAGTGACTTGTTTTGTGTTTATATCTGAAAACAGTGTGCACTGTCTTTTAACCCTTTGAGCTTCAACTTAACATGTGTGAAGTATGTGAACATTTCAATATTACAGTGAATTTTTTCCAAGCTTTGACTCAAACAGAAGAGTTAGACACTCTTCCTGCCAAGTCATGCTCACCCGTAAAGCATAAGTATACTTCACAGCTGCACTAGAACTCACTGTGGACCATAAGAGACCTCCAGGAATGTGTTCTAGTTTGATATATCCCTTGCCTAGAACATGTATTGTGTCATAATAGGCAAATGTTTTTTCTTCACTTTTTGAAGCATTATTTTAAGTGTTGTTGGTTTGCAGGCACTGGAGAGAAATCATTCAGTTGTTACATATGAAGTGATGTTGAGTATTCAGCGCCTAGTAAACAAGTATGGTGTGGAGCTCCAGGATCCAGCTTGGGATCTAGTACTGTCCATCACTGAAGCTATCATCAAATACATAGGTTTATATTCTGATTGCAGTTTTATCATCATTAACATACTTTCAGAAGTATTTCTATGGAATTCCATTAACATAATCTGAAAAAATATGTATAAATTTTGAAGTACAATGTTCATGTGTCCTCTTTCCAGTACTAACTCCTTATCCACCATCTTCTATAATTATAGAAATATAAATTAATTATTTTTTTATTTTTCATGGTTTATATAGAACTGATTTAAGAAGACTGATTAATAATCTGCCGCAGATTTTGGCTGTGTAACTTACTAAGCAATACTAGAGTAATACAAGGAGTCCTGGGAGGACCAAATCACCTACTTTCATCTGATATGACATGGACTGCATAGAAACCAACACAGCCAACAGTTTTTCTATTTTTGCATGTGTATTCATTGCCGTGTTAACATTTTTACTGAGCTGTTGCCTAGCATTGATAGGATACCCTTATAGACACAGATTGATGGAAGGGATTTATGAAGTATACCATTGAGATTGGCTCAGGTGCCAAGTTTCATAAAGATTAGTTCAACTATTCAGAAGTTGATAAGGGGGGATACACAGACACACATACAGCATGGTGATCACATAGGCCTACTTTCGTATTTCTTCAAAATAAAGAATTTAGGCTAAAAACCCACAATATGGTGCTCCCACATCATAATTTGTTTCCTTTATCCTTACCTTGTGAACAGAGGCTAGAAAGTAAGACCATATCTGTAGGGGTTAGAAACGAAATTAATTAGTGAAATCATATTCGTTCTAGTCTTTGATATACATCAATTTTTTTTAGATAAACTGGGTTACTAATTTTTCTCAATAGATCACAGTAAACAATTATATGTTACATGTAACTGACTATTATCTATAGTGGTATTATATAGATGCCAATTTGGATTTTTATTTTCAGGAACAAATTCTCATACAAACCAGATGTCATTAATAGAAAGTCACCTTCATGACACAATATGCACCATTGAGCAGCAAATTGAACAGGGTCAGTTTAATGGCTCAGTGTGCAGAGTGTATGAACTGATAGAGAGGTGTTCTTCATCCCGACCAGTATGTAACATCAGTAACTATACATATATTTTTTATGTTGCATGTGAATTGTGATGATCTCCATGATTTCCTATCTGATCACAGTGTAAAAGCTGGGGAGAACTTCTGTTTTGGCATATGTGTATTATTTAGATCCCATGTGGTCACATTGTTGGTCTGTGCCTAGTCAAGCCAGTTTATGAGTTTAGCAAGGGAAGATCAGCTGGCAAAACACAAGTTTAGACCACTGACTTCATTTATTAAGGTATGCAGAGTTAACTTATTCTCATTGTCATGGATTGCTTAAAACTAAATACAGTTGACACAGTTCTTGATCCATTGAAGCAAGCAGGTTGGTGTACTGGTAACACTCTAGACTAATATCAAGGAGGTAGTCAGTTTGAATCTCAACTAGGGCACCAGCTGTCCTGACTGAAGTATTCCATAGTTTTCCTCAGTCCCTGCATGCAAATGCAAAAATAATACCTCAGTTAAGTTCATTTCCAGTTTGTTATTTACCGATCTTCCTACCATTTGACACTATATGATCGAAGATACTGACACCATCCTAAAATAAACCACAACTTCGATCTGTTGTATGTGTGCATGGTGACATGGAAGAAGCCAGTTTAGGACTGAGTGTAGATGAAATTGTTGCAGAACTCTGTTTGAAAATATTCTCAGATATTTTAGTAAGAAACTTTATACTTTTCAATTGAATGGCAGTCGTGATATTCTCTTCTTCAGTTGCACTGCATGAGGGTTCATGTTTGAGAGAGACCTCACTCAGAAACATTGTCAGACCATCTCCTGGTATCCCACATGAAGACTGAAGCTGCCTTACATAAGTAAATGAAAAATGAAAGCATATATTTTTTCAATGTTATATTTTAGCGTCCTGTTGCACTGATTTATGTCCATGATTTATTCCAGCCGTCTTACAGTGCACACACTCATCCACTTCACTCTTCACTCCTGCAATACATGTTTCGGCACAAAGGTGCCATCCTCAGGTGCTCTTCGATTTATGTTAAACTACTTCACTGCATGCCTTGCTGTTTTCATACTAAAATAACTAAAATATATGTTCATCATATATATTGATAAATATTAAATATTAAAAATATTAAAACTGTTCAGGATTTTTTATCCCTACGTCGCATCTCAATACGCGAGTCACNGACTCGCGTATTGAGATGCGACATAGGGATAAAAAATCCTGAACAATTTTAATATTTTTAATATTTATCAATATATATGATAAACATATATTTTAGTTATTTTACTATGAAAACAGCAAGGCATGCAGTGAAGTAGTTTAACATAAATGGAAGAGCACCTGAGGATGGCACCTTTGTGCCGAAACATGTAGTGCAGGAGTGAAGAGTGAAGTGGATGAGTGTGTGCACTGTAAGACGGCTGGAATAAATCATGGACATATATTTTTTCACAGCAGAACTTCATGGATAGTAGCATTAAGTGTCCACAACTGGGACAGAATTTTAAAATAGACTGATGTACAGTACAATCATTTGTGGTGACCTGTGGCTTGATATGAATTAGTACTAACTGATGAAGGATATAGATGAAAACAAAGGTGAAGTGGTCTCCTAGTTTAAGCACTTTGTCTTGAATGCACATAAGAAGAGTAAAAGTAAAGTAACATGCTTTCTTAACCTTGGCGCTTGATTTAAGTGCATGGTCAGATTCACACTCAATTTCTAAGGAAAAAACTCCCAGTACCAACTGACTAAGAGACTGGGTGGGCCCCATAGGTTTTCTGGACATGGTTTATGTTTCAGGACATTAAACCTCAATTATTTAGCCTACATCCAGTCATCTTATTAATAGAACTATAATGTGATCTGTACATGATAACAAGTGGCATTAGTGTCTTAATTATAACAGAATGTTAGCATTTTTCTGTTTAGTTTTAGACAACAGAATTTGATCCTTATTTTGAATTTGTCATAAATTAATGTAAAATTTTGGTGAGATTTGAGGTAACCACCAACCATGCTACATGTTCTCTTACCCTAAAGACCACAATATGCAGTAAACAGCAAATTTCAGTAATTCCTGTAACAGTTACTGCATTTGCTTTGTAAAAGTTAGAATATGCCTCAAGTCTAGTAGACAGCATGCAGTAGTACTGTCATTTGAATGTCCAGAGGAATCTTCGGTTTATTCAGGAAGAGTGAAGTTTTAACATACAGTCAAATAGATTTTTTTGCATTGGTCAGATACTGGAGAAAAAATTGGAGTACAATACGGCAGTACATCAGTCATTCATAGACTTCATGAAAGTCTATAATTCACTTCAAGGGAATTATTGTACAATATTCTGATGGAGTTTGGGGTACCCATGAAACTAATTAAGCTGATTAAAATGTGTTTAAACGACATGTAAACTCCATATAGGTAAATATTTGCCTGATAATTTTCCTATCCAAAATTATCTAAAGCAGGGAGATGCTTAATCACCACTGCTTTTCAGCTTAGCCTTAGAATATATCATTAGGAAGGTCCAGGAAAATCGGGTGAGACTGAAATTAAATGGGACACAACAGCTGCTGGTCATTGCTGATGATGTGAATCTGCTGGGAGATAACATAGATACCATAAAGAGAAACACAGGAACTTTAATTGATTCTATTAAAGAGGTTGGTCTAGAAGGAAACACAGAGAAAACCCAGTGTATGTTGCTGTATTGTCACCAGAATGCAGGGCAAAATCATGACATAAATACCTTTGAAAATATGACACAGTTCAAGTGTTTTGGAATTACAGTAACAAATCAAAATTTGATTCAGGAGTAAATTAAGAGGAGTTGGAATTTGGGCAATGCTTGCTACAGTCAGTCCAGAACCTTTTGTCTCCTTGTCTGCCGTCTAAAATCATAAAAATTAGAATATATAAAATCATAATTTTGCCTGTGGTTTTGTAAGGGTGTGAAACTTGGTGTCTGACATTAAGGGAGGAACATAAACTGATGGTGTTCGAGAATATCATGCTGAGGAGAATATTTGAACCAAAGCTGGAGAAAACTGCATAATAGGGAGCTTCATAACTTGTTCTCTTCACCAAGTATAATTAGGATGATCAAGTCAAGGAGGATTAGATAGGCAGGACATGTAGCAAATCTGAGGAGAAGAGGAATTCATATAGGGTCTTGGTGGGAAAGCCAGATGCAAAGAGACCACTAGGAAGATAAGACTCAGGTGACAGTATAATATTAAACTAGATCTTAGAGATAAGATGGTATATTAAGGACTTGATTGATCTGGCTTAGGAATTAGTCCAGTGGAGGGCTCTTGTGAACACAGTAATTAACCTTCAGGTTTATAAAATGCTGGGGAATTCTTGAGTAGCTGCACAACTGGCAACTTTTCAAGAAGGGCTCAACTCAATGTCGTTAGTGTCAGGTGTCACAGTCTCAGAGATTTGTTCTCTACATTCTTGTGTTTCAGATCTTTTAGTTGCAGGATATATGAAAAAATTAAATGCTGTAAAGACTGAGTGCATATATAAGAAGAAGATTCCAGAAATTTATGATGGAGCATACATAAATGAAGGGGAATCTTGATTTTTTAATGAATTTTTGCTGATTTTTCCCCCTGAATGCTAAAACTATAAACTTCTGTTTTTCTTGCTGTTGTTCAGTTTTTGTCAAGTCAATGCAAACTACAGGATAAGCAGTGAATTACCTGTTCTTTCATGAAAATTTTGGCATGCTATGCTTCATAGCTTAACCACACTTTTCAACAAATGTCCAGTAGATAGAATATAATTTTACGTGTACTTCTTGTGAGCTAACTTGTCCAATCTGCATGAAGACCAAAGTGGTATGCAAGATACCTCATTAGAGATACCTGTGGCTTTTATAAACATCAACACTTTGGCACTTAGAAGTTGGTTGATATCTGTGACACAGTAGATAAAGTCAGTATGAGTTGTTTAACAAGTTTCAATTTGCTGTGATTTTGTAAAAGATGCAACAAGACATAAATGGTTGGGAAACTTTGAAGGAAAAACCTACTTGAGAGACTATATATAGTTTGGAGGCACAATGTGGAATTGGACCTTACAGAAATTGGTTGTTATAATGTAAAGTGCATTCAACTGGCTTAGGAGAAGGTCCAATGGTAAACTTTTGTGATGACAGTGATGAACTTCAGGCTTCATGGCAACTTAGTTAACTGTCAATTGCTAAATGAAAACTCTCTAGTTAAATATACATGTATTTCCCCTTCATATTACTTTACTGTACTGGTTACTTTTTAACTCTATTTTGTAGGAGGCATCTGTTTTGCGTTTGGTGAACTACTTGGCAGCTTCCATTGTTCCAACACATTCACTATGGCTCAGCAAACTGAATTCATTACTTGAAAAGTACTTCATTAGAGAGACTAGGACGAACATCAGAGTGAGAGTGCTTGATATCCTTTCAAATGTCATCCACTCCAACAGGTATGCATGCCTATTTACTCATTTCACAAATGTTAACAGCAAATTTTCTTCTTAGTGCATTTTAAAAATTAATATAATTTCTGGAATATGGAATGAAATTTTTCTACAACACACACTTGCCAAGCTGACTAAACCTCAAAATCTGAGACATCATCTTCTGTCAGTGAGAAAACCATCACTTGTTTTTATTGAATAGCATTGTTTTGTATGCACACACATATATGGTTTTCTCTCTCTCTCTCTCTGAAGTGTTTCCCCCCCCCCCATTCTAATTATATTTTAGTTGATTTTAACTTTGCTGTGAGGAAAGATGGTCGTTATAAGACAGTAGACTGAAATTGCCTGCCTGTTCTTACAGCTCTATGCAGTTGTCCCCAGTTAAGGTTTCCATTACAAGAAAATAGCTCAGTGACGTATTTGCAGTAGATGTCAAATGAGCATTTGAACAATAAATCAAATACAGACATTAATGAAGCTACCACATATGCTGTGAGCCTTTAGACTTAAAGTAGTGACCACTGATCTTGCTATGTGGTTGCAGTCCAGCTGCATAATTAACATACAACAGGGCAAAGACCAGTATTGACAGTAATTAAAAGAAAGGGTGAGAAAATAAAATATAAATATACAGTAGACCCAGGGGTAAGGCTAGCCAAAGAATAAATTACAAACCAAGAGGTCTGTCAGGTGTGAGTGGAATAAAGAGTAGAAGGCCAAAATAGATGTTTAAAACAGTTAGATGCAATTTGGATAAACATACAACTTACCTCATGGCCCCAAACCACTGCAGGTTTGACTAGGCACCCCTTGGATCCCAATCAGTAGTTACTATGATAACTAAAGCAGCTTGTTACTTTGCATATAAAGTCATAAATGAACTTCCATCATTCTTCAGTGTGCTTGCAGGCCTAATGAACAGGTAGAGGGAGGTAGTAGGCAGGAAACTTCTGTGTAGTAAGACTGGATGGAAAGCACAGATACACAGAAAGGCAACTACAGGCTGTTTTATAGGCAGGATGGACCCAAGAATTGATCTCTGTGTGGTGATAAAGAGAAAGATTCCATTCCTTTCAGGACCCAGACCCTGATTATCCGTCCTATAGCCAGTCACCTTGTTGACTGCTTATAAAGCACTTATTTTTGCATCAAATGTGAAATGTATCATAAGCATTCTCAAAGTAATATTATCATGTGTAGGGGGTATGGGTGACTAATAATTGTGGATTCTGGATTTAATGATTAGGTTTGTTTGAAATCTATATCTCAATTACAGCAATTCTTATTGCTGTTGATTTAATATTTATTTCTTAATTAATCACACTGAACAATTACAATAAAGATGGAATGATTAGACAACAACTGGAAAAATAAGAGATACATATCATTGCATCCCTCCTGACCTCAAGCATTAAATGTTGTCTCTTTCAATCAAATTTCCCCACCATAATTATGTATTTCTCATTCTCATGTGCATGTTAAATATGCAGGCCTTTATGATGTCTGCAGTTTGAGAATATTCATCATCATCATCAGTAATCTGTCAAGACGACAGGTCCACAGTCTCTTTCAAAACAATTCCTCCACTTAATGCGATCTAGAGCTTTCTCCTTCACATGACAGTATCCTCTTCTGTCCCCAAGGTCATCCAGCATCTTCTTACGTCTTCTTCCTCGTCTTCTTGTCACTTCTATCCGCCCATCTATCTTTCCTTCGATAGCTTCTTTTAGAAGGCAGTTTCTGCGTAAAACATGACCAATCCAATTAGCCTTCCGTTTTCTTATTTCATGTAGGATATTCCTCTGCTCACTGACTCTAATTAACACTTCTTCATTTCTCACATAATCGGTCCAACTGATCTTCTCCAT